CTGAGTTCCCGAGCCTCTACCAGCGCTCTATAGTTGTGTTTGTCGGCTGCTGTCAACTGTCCAAGGATTTCCCGTGGTTGTCCCTTCAAGCTCGTTGCCAGATATAATGCTTTCTGCTCCTCTGTCCATCCGTTCAGCTCTGCCAGTAACTCAAATTGTGCTCTATATGCTTCCCACGGTGCCTTCCCATCGAATTCCTGTGGCTTCCTTCGCACTGGATCACTCCTATTACTGACATTCATATCTGGGATGTGACTTCTAACGGGACTGAATATGTCTGCATTAGGGTTTAGCTGCAGGGTCTGTAAGGGGCTTGTCATTGTCTGGGGCTGGTTAAGTCGATGGTTAATGTATCCTCCTTGTGTAAAAGACAATAAATCGTCCTTTAACGTATCTAATTCGCTTTTAAATTTACTAATGTTTTCCATTTGTACTTCTTGCCACTGTTGTAGTCTCTCTTCTTGTTTATTTTCTTTCTCCTCCAATAGCTGTTGTAATCTCTCTTCTTGTTTATTTTGCTGTTCGAGCTGCCACTGTTGCAGGTTTTCTTCTCACTGCTGTTGTCTCTCTTCTTGTTTCTTTTCTTTTTCCTCCAACGACTGCTGTAACTTCTCTTGTTTATTTTCTTTCTCCTCTAACCACTGCTGTAGTCTCTCTTGTTTACTTTGCTGTTCGAGCTGCCATTGTTGTAGGTTTTCTTGCCACTTCTGTAATCTTTCTTCTTGTTTTTTTTCTTGTTCTTCTTGTTTCTTTTCTTTTTCCTCCAACAACTGTTGTAATCTCTCTTCTTGTTTATTTTGTTGTTCGAGCTGCCACTGTTGCAGGTTTTCTTGCAACTGCTGTTGTCTCTCTTCTTGTTTCTTTTCTCGTTCTTCTTGTTTTTTTTGCTACTCTTGTATTGCTGCCATCAAGTCTGCTAAGCTGTAGTTTGATTTGCCACTTCTCGCTTCCATTTCTTTTTTTTTTCGTTCCACTTCTGACACCAATTTGTTACGTCTCCGTTCGTTCGTTAATTTTCCGAAAATTCGTAAATTCGTTCCGACGAAACTTTAGCGACACAAGTCCTTTCTTAAATAAAACTGGTTTATTCGTTCCGAATACAACTTTATGATACACTTAATTTCAACAGTCGCTCTGTAACAAACACTATAATTCTCAACGAGCTTCTCACGTGCTTAACAATATTCTCTCTGACTGCAGTTCAATTACTCATTACCTCTCCGTCGCTTCGTGGTCGGTTTTATATATACAAGACTACACTATATCTAGAAAGATCACGAGATTTAAGGAAAAGACGTGAAAGTTCGAGAATGACGTGGCGTGATACTAGTCACGTAACCTCGATGTCGCAACAATTGATTTAATCCTGTAATTTACTGTTTGAGATGTGTGTGAGAGTTACCAAGTTGCCTTTGTAGGGGTAGAGGAGCGGCGTTTATTTTTGGATTTCAAAGGTGGTATCCCTAACCACACTCAGAACGATTAAAACAGCTCTATTGCACATAAAAAAAACTGTTAAATGCATTTAGAAAAATAGTTACTGAATTTTGCGGCTTCTTTTCTTTTAGTTTTTTTTTTTTCAAAATAAACATTTTATTCAACAGACACACTGCTGTTGCAATTGTTTATACATTTAAAGAAGTGTATATAGCTATGCCCCAAACGTTTACGTTGTTCTTAAAAAATAACTATATACGACTCAAAGGTATGTCTAAGGTGCTGTAACGCTAAAAAACTCGGTTTTAGTCATCTGTGGTAGGCAGAACACATATAGCCCATTTGTGTAGCTTTTCTTTTTTTGCTCAACAAAAACAACAACAACTTGCAAATAAGAATTGAGAAATATACTTTAACAATGAGAATATGAAGCATATACAGACTTTATATACATTAAAGTCATATATGTATATATACATGCATATCTGTTAAAATTGGCCTGGTATTGCCTGGTGGTTAACATACTCGACTCGCAATATGCGGGTTACGGGCTAGAATGCCGTCCACGAATATGCTCGCCAATTCAGCCGTGAGGGCGTTACAATGTGACGGTTAATTCCACTATTCGTTGGTAAAGAGTAGTTCAAGAGTTGGTGATAAGTGATGTTGACTAGCTGCCTTCCTTCTAGTCTATCACTTCAGAATCAAGGACAGCTAGCGCAGATAGTCTTGGAGTAGCGTTGCACAAAATTCAAAATAAACAAACTGTTAAAATCGGTTTTTAGTTTTAGCTCAGCAGTAAGTCTGAAAACTGATAATACTAACAGTTGGAATACGGTACCCTGGATGGGGAGAGCAAAGATAGTCCATTGTGTAGCTTTGCGCTTAACGACATATAACCAGTCACTTTTCATTGCTAATAAAACACACATGAGAGAAAAAATATATATATAAACACAATCTCAGAAATATGATATTAAAGTTTCCACACTACATAAATAAGTATGAATGCAACTGATAATATATCAGTCATGACAAGGCAAAACAACTATTAGATAAATAATGCCAATTATTCATCTTCAGCTAAATTTTATGTACACTAGCCATCTGTTGAGCTCATGTGAACTTAAGTGCAACTGATGAGTCATTAAGACTACGACATTTCATTTCAATATGGATTATAGCTACAACTAAAAGTAAGACTGCCAGCTAAACATCGATGTTATCAGTGTCGACCATTCCTCTCTTTGCATAGTTTAATTCAATCTTATAAATTCCCTCTTCCTTAAGGAAGATGTCGACTAATTTAGCAAGGGTGGGACAGGCGTTATAAACTATTAGACTTAATTCATGGAGAAATTGTCGACTAGGTATAGCAGGCTATTGGTGTCACAGAGAAATTGTAGAAGATGTTATGTTCTATTAGACTGATGTGAGGGAGAAACTGTCCACTAGATGTACCATACATTTTCATCTATTTTACTGAAGTCAGGGAGGAACAGTCGACTTAGTGGATAAGATGTTATCATCTAATAGACTAAAGTCAAGGAGAAAACGTCAATCAAGTGAAGCAGAAGTTATCATCTATTAGACTGAAGTCAGGAAGAAAGTGTCGACTACGTGGACCAGCGAATATCATTTATTAGACTGAAGTCAAGGAAAAAATGTCAACTAAGTGTAGCAGACGTTATCATCTATTAGACTGAAGTCAATAAGAAAGTATAGATTAGGAGTAACAGACGTTATCATATGTTAGATTGAAGTCAGGAAGAAAGTGTCGACTAGGAGTAGCAGACGTTATCATATATTAGATTGAAGTCAAGAAGAAAGTGTAGATTAGGAGTAACAGATGTTATCATATATTAGACTATATAAACTAGGTGGAACAGATGTTATCATCTATTAGATTAAAGTCAGGAAAAAGTGTCGACTGGGTGCAGCAAAAACTATTATTTTTAGACTGATGTCATGGAGAATGTGTCAACTAGGGTGACAAGGTATTATCATTTATTAGACTAAAGTCATGGAGAAAGTGCCAAATAGATTGACAAAACGTTATCATTTATTAGACTGAAATAAAGGAGAAAATGTAAAGCAGGTGGACCAAAAGTTATCATCTATTAGACTGGATTCGTGGAGGAAGTGTCAAATAGGTGGATCAAACATTATCATCTGTAAGAATGAAGTCATGGAGAAAATGTCATCTAGGTTTAGCGGACATTATCAGCTATTAAACTGAAGTCAAGGAGAAATTATCAACTAAGTGTAATAGATATGATCACTTATTGGACTGAAGTCATGGAAGAAGTGTCAAATATGTGGCCAAGGCATTATCATTTTTTAGACTAAAGTGCGGGTTATCATCAAAGGTTATCTTCTATTAGACTGAAATCATGGAGGAAGTTTCTACTAGATGTAGCAGACGATACCGTCTATTAGCCTGAATTCGAGGAGAAAGTGTCGACAATGGTGAACATATTGCTCTTATTTAGTAGATTGAAGTCAGGAAGAAAGTATAAATTTGGTGTAACAAAAGTTATCGTCTATTACGCTGAAGTTATGGAGTAAGTATCAACTAAGTGGAGAAGACATTATGATCTATTAGACTGAACTCAGAGACAAAGTCTACTAGGTGGACCGGATTGTATCATCTATTAGACTGTAGTTAGGAAGAAAGTGTTGAGTAGGCGTCATAGATGTTATCATTTATTAGACTGAGGCATAAAGTGTAAACTAGGTAAACAAGGTGTTATCATTTGTTAGACTGAAGTAAGATAGAGAGTGTCAAGTAGGTGAGCCAGAAGTTACCATCTATTAGATTGAAGTCATGGAGGAAATGCCATTCAATTGGACTAGACCTTACCATCTATTAGACTGAAGTCAGGGAGGAAGTGTTGACTAGGCATAGCAGACGTTATAATCTAATAGACTGATTTAGTGCAAAAACTGTCGACCAGGCCGAGGAAGTGTCAGTTATGTGGACAATGCGTTATCATCAATTAGATTGATGTCGATGTCAATTTAAATGGCATATGGTAGCACATATGATCGTATATTATGTTCTCCGTAATACGTCATATTAATGGCACCAGTTTACAGGATAATATGAATATTGTTTCCGCGACCAATGCTTATTTCTACTCATACTACTTTTGCTGCCTTATGCTTCACGTCTCTGTGTGAAACTGTGGCTGGATCTTGTTCAATACTTTCTCCATAAGAGCATACGCCTGTTATCTAACTGAAGGTTGATGCCGACTCGACTCTAGAAAAAATAATGTTCCACGTGTCGTTAGTTTATGTATGTGTTCTTGACACTATTGTAGGTGAGTTGTTTTGTGCTTTGCTTTGCACCTTATTGGACATTTAGCATACAAGCCTGTCTTATACAGCTTGTCTCTAGATTTTATCATAGGTAATAAATGTGATTTAGTTTCATGATATAACATATTAGATGGATGATAATAATTTGCCAGGTAATGAAATCTTAATAGATATACCAAGCTCTAGATTGCAGGAGTTCAGCACGCTGGAAGCATGCTATTTTCAGTGAATTCTACAAAAAGTATGAACGTGACATTGCTACCTTTAAGGTTCGTAAGTTTTCACTTGTCGCAGTACGGTAGGTATGTTGAATTGAAAATAATAATTGAGAACTGTTCCAAATGTGGCCATCAAAACATGCTTTACCTCAGCTTAGTATTTGATTTGGTTGTTTCAACTGGGCTTGGCGACTTAACCACAAAGACGTAACTGATTCAACGAAATAGGAAAGACACAAGAAATGTGTATATCATATCTCCATGAAGTCTGACATATCTCTGAAACACTACAGTTAGGTTGACTTCTTGCATTTAATTGAAGTATAAATCCTCATTTAAATGGATTTTTCATTAAGGGCGAACCCAAAAATAAAATAATTGAACAGTTGTTTAACCCTAAATAAAACAATAAATTATTGTGTTAGTAGCTCAGTTTTAACTTTTTAATTTAAATAGTGATTTATCGTCTTTTACGTTCCTAATGAATATTTGAAGCTGTTCCCTGTAATCTCAATATTTTATACAAATCACATTTCACTTACTAAAAAACAAGATTAATGTTTTTAAGAATTAACATTTTCTGGTAAATAATGTCAGTATGTTCGAGAGTCGAAATTATTTGTTACTTAAATACTAAATACTTTTACGTTTTGAAATAAATAAGTCACATTGTTTTGGCAACAATTTTTTTAATTGAAATTTTGCTTATCTTCAAAAACGACAGAAACTCTTACCAAAAAATCCTTCCTAGAAATTGTTTCACAGCTTTCAGGCTCATCAATTTTCTTCGGTATATTTAAAGTACTAAAAAAGAAATGAAATAGCTTGTTTTTACATTACTGCACAGTCCTACCACAAAATACTCACCTCAGAGCATTTCACAAAACACTTCATTGTTTTAAGCCTAGTCTTACCACAAAATATTCGATTACTTTTATTTTCATGGTCAGATGGTTAGGGCGCTCGACTCGCAATCTGCGGATCGCGGGTTCGAACTCCTGCTTTATAATATTACCGTCAATCCAATTATTCATTGGTAAAAGAGTAGTCCAAGAGTTGGTGGTGATGACTAGCTGCCTTCCCTCTAACTCTCGTGTAGCTTTGCGTGAAATTCAAAACAAACCAAAACCATACTTTTCTTTTAAAACCAGCTTTAGCATAAAATACCCCTTTAATTATGTTTTTAACTCAGTCTTACAATAAATCACCCCATTACCGTTGTTTTAAAGTGTATTTTTACTGAAAATCTAACATAAGCATCAGAAGCAAAATATGTGTGTGTGATAGGGAGTAAAAATGGAAGTGAATCAAGCTTGTAAAAAGTGCTGACAAACAATGGGGTTGGAGGCATATTCCACGGGAATATTTTTGTAATTGGAGTAGCAATTTGAGCCTATTTGAAATGCTTAAAACCAGAAAAAGAAACAAAAGCGAAATTAATTAGCAAATAAGCAGTTTAATGACCATTTACACGACATTTCACGTTTTACCTTCATCTCTTTATCTTATATTTTCGACTCTGTGTTTTTCCAGCTACCAAACTGACATTAGAAGATTTATCTGTATATAATGAGTCATTATTTTGGATAAATAGGAAATTAAACCAAACTTGGATAAATTATGAACCTATGGACGTTTATAGGGGGAAATGGATGCTATCAAACTGCATTGAAAATAACGCCTTAGCGTTACGTTTTATCTAAGTATTATATATTCAACATGTTCTTATTCCATTTTATCAAATTTATTAACATTTTGATTATAACGTTTTAAGCTTGGAATGAGGTTTCCATAAGGTTCAAATGAACTTTGGTGTTCGAAGGAATATGTACAACCTGTGCTATAAAGAGACTTTTTAGAAGTTTGTGACTCTTTACTTTATTACTAACTTTGAGAAGTGTGTTACTCCTTGCTTTATTACTAACTTTGAGAAGTTTGTGACTCTTTACTTTATTACTAACTTTGAGAAGTTTGTGACTCTTTACTTTATTACTAACTTTGAGAAGTTTGTGACTCTTTACTTTATTACTAACTTTGAGAAGTTTGTGACTCTTTACTTTATTACTAACTTTGAGAAGTTTGTGACTCTTTACTTTATTACTAACTTTGAGAAGTTTGTAAATCTTTACTTTATTACTAACTTTGAGAAGTTTGTAAATCTTTACTTTATTACTAACTTTGAGAAGTTTGTGACTCTTTAATTTATTTATCATTTATACTTAATTATAACGAAAATTAATTATTTCTTCAACCTGTTGATTAACTCACAAATATAACTAAACAGTCACTTACTTTCAAGCTCTCAACTTGGTTAAAACACAAATCCAAAATTTACATCACTGATCTGACTTACTAACTCTACAACTCACTAACAGACTGGTGTTATCATATTATAATTTGTTTTTAAGTCTTTAGAATATTCAAGATCTCACGTGAAATCCATACACTTGGTAACTTTCTAGGTATCACCCACAATCATTACTTCATGCTCAAAACGTTCACTAGCAAACAATGCAAAGCATCTAGATTAAGATATTAAAAACATACCCTACAACAGTACTATGTAAATGAGAGAAAAAAACTCTCATACAGTAGTCAAATATTATTCTTAAATTTGTTTGTCTTAAAAGCAAACAAGAAAACAGAGTTTTGGTTGTGCATAAACTACAAATACTGTACAATGAACGACTATAAGTCTGTGATGTGGATTAATTGATGAATCACACTAATGTTTTTTTATAAAATGTTCTCATGAGAGGGCATAATTCATTTAACTCCTGTAGAAGAGTTAATAACATCCAGAGTGTACGTGAACGTTTTCATCTATCATACCTACTCTCACAATGCTGTATCTCTCTTTGATGGACAAGGGCTTTTTGTAAACTGGGTTTGGGATGACCTTGAATGGCGTACATGTTATCAAGTCCTCTAATGACATTTGTGATCCAAGCGTTGATCATGTTTCTTAATGAATGAGCATGTAACACAATATTTTATGGCGTTTTGTGGAATTTTTCCATAACTAATTTTAAGTAGACTTGCCAACTCTCCAAATATCAGTCCAAGAATATTTTATGACAAGGATATCATAGCGTCTTCTAGCGATGCACAGTGAGACAAAGAAAATCTACTTCTCATCAGTGGAAGACAAAACGCTGTATGAATTGCTCACTAACGACAAGTAATTTCTTTCGTAGGAAAATTCTGCAAAATGTAAGTTCCAAGATTACATCAGTTTTATGGCAAAAGAAATGAATATATATATATATATATATGTGTGTATGTGTATTCAAATGACAGAAAATGTAAAAAAAAAAGCCAAAATATAAGCCGGGAGGGGGCCCTTTACCAGAAGTCAGAGATGATAGGTCAATCTTGGGAAACTCCTGGACAAATCAGGAGGGCTGTAACTTTAATTCTAGGCCATTCTCTCGCAACCTGGTGTTAATTAAAGGTCTGAATAGAGTCGCCAGGCAGAGTATTACAATGGTAGTCTTCATTAATTGTTATTGGTGTTAAATATTATGGCATATCAAAAAGTTATTTAACTCTTATTGTTAAAGCAATGTTATCTTATGTAATTTTTAATTTCTTATTACATTACATTGTAGGTCCACATGTTACAGTCTGTACAGAAGGTGCGCTTACTAACTAATCCGGTAGAGAGTTTAGCAAGTTCCAATAAATAAGCAACTCTCATCCTACTAAAACAAATATTAGACATATAAATTGCTGGAGCAAAACATTATCAATTTAATTTCCTCTGTATATGTAATTCCGCAAATCTTACAGTAGAAGAACTACATAATTTGTAATTTTAGGTGTAAAGAAATTTTATGAAAAAGGGCAACATACTGTAAAAATAAGTTCTGAGTTTTTCCATGTCTGTATTTATTCAGTTTTCCACGGTAAAAAAATAGCACATTTTCTTGTTTTCTTCTTCTTTTTTTTTACTTACCCTGTATTTTGTACTTCTGACGACGAAACAATATCCTGCTGAGCATCCCAAAGTAAACATTCTATACATTTCTGACGATCACTCGCTTTGCAGAGAGCACTTCCTTCATGGGTGTTGTACTCCAAGTCCGTCCATCTCCAATGGTCACATCCTGGAGCATAAAATAAGCGCAACTCCATATTTCACTCAAGATGGACCATGGATATGTGGCATTCTTCATCGATTTAACCGTCTATTCACATTAAAACATTCCTTCGTCTTTATTAATACCAATCGTTGTTCAAAAACAAGTGCTTATACATATATCAATGTACTATTAAACAGTTTTCACAATAAAGTTTCTAGAACTGATTGTTCTTATAACTATAGAAGCAAAAAGAATTAAACATACAACAAATAGAAATTAAGAATTTCTAGAAGAGAAACAGCAACAAATCGTAAAGATATTTTTACAACACTTTCACATTTATCTTTGGAAGTCGAACTGTTGTTCTAAAGATAATCGGAGTTATTCGCAGGAAGCTCAGGGTGGATTATAAAATTACAATGATTATCTAATTCATGTATGAAAATCGCCTGACGATGCTACTTGCTCTAATCCACACATTCGTTACTTACCCATTAAGTTTCTTGACCAACAACAGATGGTGTTTACTCAGTCAAATCAAGCCTCCAAAGATCAGGAAGACAAACACCGTGAAACTTCACATTCCTCCAGGTGTCCTCAATAAGATTAACCAATGTTGTTTTCAACAGATGATTATTGTCGGTCAGTCTCACAGCGTCATAAAAAAGAAGCTAATACCCAGATATATATATATACTTGGCATGGGGAGCTTAAGTTCGGCTGATGTATAAGTTGTTTTGGTATATTTTTAGATTATGGCCTCTGTTCTCTAGGCAGAACTATGGAACTAAATGACTATTATATGTATAAGGCCTCACATGGGCGTCCGCAGAGGGCAAGGGGCACTTGCTCCCTCTGGAAAATGAGAAATATAATTCTTTCTTTATTCATTTAGTATATATTTATGAATTTCGAAGTTTTTTTATTCACTTCACAATTTCACACTATTTATTACATTTAATTTTCAAAATCTAATACCTCCCAGAGGCATAGCAGTATGTCTGCGGACTTACAACGCTCGAATCTGGGTTTCGATACCCGTGGTGGGCAAAGCACAAATAGCCCATTGTGTAGCTTTGTGGTTAATCACAAACAAAATCTAATAAAAATCGCCAGGTTTGTCAGCAGCTTTATATAAAACCTCTAGATACCTACCCTGTAGCTAAATATTGACAAACGTCGCTACCATGGCAACTTCTTGGATATTGGTCATGACAATTCTCGCTCAGGTCACCAAAGAGACCGACGCGATCTTGCCGACATCTCCTGAACCCTGACACGGTGTGATCGGGGTCAGCCTGTTGCCACCTGCGGTAAAACTGGCAGCAGGTTATCAAAGGGACTGACCCAGTCTTGCCGACACCCCCTGAGCCCTGACTGTGATCGGGATCAACCTGCTGCCACCTGCCTGTAATACTAACGCAGTCTTGCAGACATCCCATGAGACAGCGTGATCGGGGTCAACCAAAATTTATTATTATGGAGTATATATAGCTACAAGTCTGCAGTATGGCTTAAACCAACCTTACAAATATTAAACCCATCAAATATGACTGTGGGAACTTGCCTATTCTCTTGACTGTAATGGCAAAACTTTAAAGGTGGGTCCATCGTCCCTTTAGTTTGACTTTGCCCCTCCCCCCCGGAAAAATTTCTGCGGACGCACGTGAGTCCTCACTATATTTACCTAATTTTGCTCTGAGGAAAATATTTGCCCAGTTACCTTGCTTTAATTTTGTTTTGAATGGAAACTTTACCTAACTGTCTTTGTGAATTTCAGGACTACATAGGCGTCTATCTAGGGCGCTAAATACCCAAGGGATCCAGTGTAAGTAGGGGAGTGGCCTTAATATCTACCTAGGATGCCAGTTAAGACATCGCCAACCCTGTTGAATTTTGTTCTTACGAATTCCGAATGTTTCTCCGCTCAATATAGGCCTAATCTTCAAATTACATCGAAAAGGATAAATACTTTTAGTAGGGGAGGGGGGGGGCAAAGTCCAAATCGACATAATATATATATATATATATATATAATCAATGAATAGACCCGGCATGGCCAGGTGGTTAGGGCGCGTGACTCGCAATCTGAATCCCCGTCTCACCAAACATGTCCACCCTTTCAGCCGCAGGGGCGTTATTATGTGACGGTCATTCCCTCTATTAGTTGGTAAAAGAGTAGCCCAAGAGTTGGCAGTGGATGGTAGTGACTAGCTGCCTTCCTTCTAGTCTTTCACTGCGAAATTAGGGATGGCTAGCGCAGATAGTCCTCGTGTAGCTTTGCGCGAAATTTAAAACAAATAAACAAACAAATTGAATGAATAAAGAAAGAAATAGTTTCTCATTTTCCAGAAGAGACAAGTGCTCCCTTACATACACTCTGATTAACTGTGGCTTTTTGGCAATTCAAGCAATTCAATTTCAAACGTTAACAAGTTTACCTCTAGAAAATTTCTAACTTCATAGGACGAGGTACCACCTTTAAATTTCCTAGGTTTGACTTAACTTCCCCGAATTCTGTCCTTAACCAGAATTTATTTTCTTTAAATAACCAATAAACTGGAAACTGGTAGTTGTATTGCAGCTTTGTTCGTTAAATATTTACTCTGTATGCAGTAGATTAAATGGTTCAAATTTCGCCCTATTTTATTTTCCTCGTAATGGAAAATACCTAGGTAGAAATTCAGCTAGATTGCTAAGGCACTTTCGTGTAATAACAGTTCAAATTATGGTTATATAGAGTATTTCTTTGTGGCAAGTATGCATGTGATTTTTGTATGATGTAAAGTAGGTGCAACTATTAGTATACAACTCTGCGAAAAAATTATGTTATGTAAATTCGGTTAATATTATTGTTTGGAAAACGTTGGATTGTCACAGAGGCGCCATTTAGGTATGGCAAAGAGCAGTCCCTCTCCTCTTTGCTTATATCATTTCTTTATTTTGAGAACAACAAAATATACAAGATGTGTAGTTTGCGTATTTAAATATTTATTAAATAATCAGAGCAGACGCTCTCAAAATAAACCGATTTTTACATTCTATCCTTTAGAAAACTTAAGACCATCCAAGGACCTAACTCCCCTAAATTTCCTATAAATGTTGCCCCTCTCTCCTGACTGAAATCTAAAAAGGCGCCTTTGAATGGTCATAAGGAATGTAAAAGCTCAAGCTGCCTTTAATGTTTTAGATACTGAAAATTAAATAATTTCAGTGATGTAGCTAACTTACTTGCTGGGTTACGAGAATTTCAACTTCGAATTACTGAGTTTTTAACTGGTACAATATGGTAAAAAAAGGCACTGTACTCAACAAAAATGAATGGATCTTTATTATTTAAGAAACTTTGATATTAATATATTAGACTTCTAATGATGCTTTGTCGGTTCACTGAACAACACAATTAATGATATTAATATTGTCGGATCAGTAAAGTAGTCCACGAATAATTACATGTCTTATATTAACCTTCATCGAGAACAGCCTACAGCCAGACAAGCTTCATGATGTTAAGAAAACACGTAGGTTCGTGAAGTCAATTTATCCATTAACTGTCATTGTTCCAATTTGGGAACATATTTGGAATTACAATTTCTACCTATATAAAGATATATTAAAATGATAAATTGTTGTGACATATTTGTTACAAACTCCCTGAAGAGTGTAATCTTCTTAAACTTGTTACTCAGTGCTTCATCACGTACTGAAATGATTTGTTTTAGGCTAAGTACTTTTACTTAAATTTTATTGATTATAGCCATAATCTTGAGATATATGATTATTCTTTAACACTAACTGTATGTTATGAGAATATTTCATGAATTTTCAAGAAATATTATATGTTGAATAAATTTCTTCCCAAATGGGTACAATAGAAAAATTTAGGGAGAATAAATAACTTCAGTTGCAGTCATTGTATATGCTTTGATCTTTTACTATATTTGAGCTAAATATAGTAAAATAATATGCTAAATTGGGGATGGTGCAACTTTCATGCTATTATACATACATAATTTATTCCAAAATAGTTCGTTTTATTTTATTTTTTAATTGATGTGTCTGTTTCCAGAAAATGTCAAAATTTCCGACACTTCAAGAAGCTCTTGATCTAGTGCTGGCAGGTGATGCAGATATTATCAGCATTTTACCGCCAGAAGATAACCAACTGCTTACAGACGAAAAAAAATATTGATGATGATTTGCTTGAAAGCAATGAGAATGTACAACCGACGAACACAGTTTATCGCATTATGTTTCTGGGAGAGTATATGTCAGTAAAAATGACATGGATGAAGATTATGGTGATAATGAACCACTAGGTTCATCCCGTGAAAATTTGAGCACTAAGCACAAAAAAGGGAAAATATTAGATCGCATGGAAGTGAAATGAAGAAAATGAAAAACTAAAAACTTTCCTCAAAAGAATTATATTAGACCACTGACTGAGTACTACCCAGAGCTATGCTCACTTCCCCCTGGTGAAATGTTTTTAATAAAGATATTTAAAATATGATAGTAGAAGAAATACTCAGGTATGCTCAATAAAATGCAAATTCCCTAAATTTACAAATAACAATGCAAGTCTCTTATATTTTTCTGGCATATTCATTTCGTCAGGTTACCATAAACTTCCAAGAGGGAAATGAACAAGGAAAGATCAAATGATGTTATTGTTCCACGTTTCAAAAATAATGTCTAGAAACATATTTCGATAAACAAAACGTTACTTACACATATCAACTAATAACAACTTGGACACCACAGATGAAGTTGCAAACTGAGACCACTCCTCGAATTGACAAATAAATCATTGCAACAGTTTGATGTTTTTCAGGAGAATCTTTCAATTGATGAATGTATGGTCCAATATTTTGTAAAATAATTATTCAAGGAAATTCAATAAAGTTTGGTTACAAACTGTGGTGTTTATATTCACCCTATGGTTATCCTTTCAAGTTTTATATCTGTTGTAGTAGGATAATGTCTACTGATGACGTCCTCTAGGTACAAGGGTTGTTGAAGATATGCTTTCTTGTATTAACGATCTTAGTATTCATACAGTTTTGTTTGACAATTTTTCCCCTTCTGTAATTTCATGTCGAGATTCCAAGAAAAAATGTGAGAGCAACAGGGGCAGTTTGGGATAATAGGCTACAGAAATGCCCTCTGACAGATTCAAATCAATGACGAAGACAGCGCGGAATCTATGAGTATTACTCTGATGGCAAATGGAACGGCAATCCTCCTGTAACTGTGATTACAAACTATGACACCGTTGATCCACTTATTGATGCTCAACGCTTATAAAGTGCTGTAAAGAAGAAGGTTTCTATATAATAGAAGTATGGGAGGAGTTGATCTGATGGATCGCTATATATTTCAATATAGGCCACCAATTCGATCTAAAAAGTGGTACTTTCTTCTTTTTTTTTTTACAAATGTTAAATATGTTGCACATTACCTCATTGTTGATCCATAGGGAAGTACCAGAGACAAAATTAGATCAGCTTGAATTTACACGATGTATCGTTGTTTACTGACGTGCCTGCACAACAGATGAGTGAAACTGAACCTAGTGGTAATCAAGTACATGTAAAATTACATATGCATCATGTATCTATTGAAAAAGTTGAACAAGGTAGGTGTAAACACTGTAAAAACAATGCTAAACTGATGTGTTCAGAACGTAAGTTGCTTCTCCATAACCACGGTATGAATGTTTATCATGAAAGTTAGTTACATTTATGCTGTAGGTTGTAATTCTGCCTATGTTGATTTTGTTTTTCTTAGAATGACATTATATATGTAAAAAATAATTACGTTTGTAGCTCTAAATAACAATAAATAAAACATTTGTAATACTAGTATATTTTTAAACCTAATGTTTGCAAACAATATTCTCATCACTGAACAACACATTGACATGATTTCCAGCCATTGTTCCTATATGGGAACATGTCATATTTACTATGTAAGCACTTGGAGCTTTAAAATAAATTTATATATACCTTAATTTAGTTCGTTTGGACATAATTTGAAAGGGAAAATAATTTTCAGCAAAAATTTCTATTGTTGGCAATTAATGGATTAACACAAAAATACAAAACCATACAGCTCGAGCGCTTTCGAAAGATGGATCTTTCTTCTTCAGGGGCAGAATGGGAATGAGCCAAACAAGCTTGAAATTTATAAATGATTCTATCAACAAGCCAACTTATTTCTAAAGATATCACTTGCGTTTGTGATAAGATTTATCAATATGTTCATAAATCACGAAAATAATTTATAACATTTTACTTTGACAGTGTTTAACTCTATCCTGCACTGTGTCTTAGAAATTGACATCCTGACAATGTATAATTCTAGCATGTACTGTGCTGTGTAGACTGACATCTTAACAGTGTTTAATTGTAGCATTTACTGTGTCGTGTAGACTGGCATCGTGACAGTGTTTAATTCTAGTATGCACTGAAAGGAAGATTAAATTATCTATATCTGTATGTCTGTTGGAATTTAGTAACTTCCCAAATGGGTAAAACCAATACTAACTATGCCTATATAAAAGTGTAAATTTAAAATCAGACAATGGGTTTTAAGTCACTTACAGAAAAAAAATGTGGACCGAAAACAACGGTGTAATACACACTTCAGCTGAAGACATGAAGCAGGAATACGGTTATTATATATATATATATACATCAGAAATATATAGCATTATCTGTTAATCCATTTTCTGCGTAACCTTTGCTTCAGCAAACTGCAAATCTCTACTATAAAAATAACATTAGGCAATACATATTCCGAAGAGCGGTTTTAAAATGCCTGATCTATATAAATCATTATTTTTTAATTTTATTTGCTCTGTCCTTCTCTGTGTTTGAAAATTATACTGTGAAGTAACTTTGACAAAATGGGGACTTTAAATACACATATATGTAAAAAACAAACCTTTCCCGTCGTCCGATGAATCTAAACTGTTCATCTCAAGTAGCTTTCCCTTTTTACCAATATTTTCAACAATTCTGAGGACACGTGCAGTATTTCAGTATCTTATTTTGCTAATGTTACATTTCGAGAACAATTCACGCTTTCAGAAACTTTCTGACAAATCTCCTGCCTCTTGAACTTATAGTTAAAGGTGCACGTTATTCTGACAGCTTGTAGCTCGTGGAATACACGCTATTCAGCTTAGGAAGTGTGGTGTCATCTATTGGAAAACATCAGCCTATTTCAGCGTCCTTTGTTTCTCACGAACACCTCAGTACACACGAAGGTCAAATAATTCTGAACAAAAAATGTTTTGAGTACGTGCGCTATTGCACTCCTGGGTAATGCCATTCTTTACATTACATGATAGAGCTTTGTATAGTCTAACCTATGAATAATAACTTTGTGTGTAGGTAGCTGGAAAACAGGAATTAAACGTGACAGGCCGCATGTAACAAGCGAACTCCTTTATTTCCTTACCATTTGCAACTTTATGAAATCTATTCGACTTTTTGATTTATCTGCTTTTTTGTCTATAAATTATAAATATGAAAAAAAAAACATATACCAGTTACCTTAAATACATTTTATTGAATAAGCATGAAAACTTTGTATATATATAAAGTTAGGGAAAAAATGACCCCACTCTCCAAGTAATAATAAAAACTTTTTATTTCTGCCATTGTCTGGAGAGTAGAGGTAATGTTTTAAGCTTTATTGTCAAAATGTTTAAATCCTTCCAGTATTTACTACAAACAATGAATAAAAAACTGAATATGTATATATGTGTGTGTGTGTGTATATTATTATTATTATTATGAAGCCAATATAAACAGCTCTACAGTGGTGGGACAGTCGTCAATTAATTTATTTATTATCAGCAACGACATAACAAGTATATATTAACGTACAAACCGCGTCTCCTATGTTCCAAAGGTTTTTCAGAGTTCACGATTCATAGAATTACTTCGCGAAAAATAAAAGTATAAAAGTGGTAATAATTTTATTCAGAATCTGTAATATTGCAACACATAGTAAACAGTAACCGTTCTATGTGAAGAACGAAATGTTGTTTTAATATGATATATTATATAAACTGAATATTAAATTTTAGCTTTCATATAAACTGAATATTAAATTTTAGCTTTCATATAAACTGAATATTAACTTTTAGTTTTCATATAAACTGAATATTAAATTTTAGTTTCATATAAACTGAATATTAAATTTTAGTTTTCATATAAACTGAATATTAAATTTTAGCTTTCACAATTACTCAATAAAAGGTTTTCATTGTAAGTGGAAGGTGTTGATTTGTATATGATGCTGCAATTAAAAGACAGGTTATGATAATATGGCGTAAGGAGAAAAGAAGCGGATGACAATTTTGCAATGTTAGTATTACCTCACAGTTTAATGCTTTGCTGACTTTGATCCTTTGTGAAGGTGTATATTGCTATTGTATTAACAACGAATCTCTGAGTCAATTGGATCATTGTGTAACTTTTGGTAACCAAATAAGGTCCACACGAAATCCTGAAATCTGGATAAGTAGGAATAAGATTTAGATATCTGAAGGGCTTGATCTGAGGAGGCTTTTGTTTCGGCTTTTTCTTTGGATATAGTGGTTTGGATGGTTTCCTATCTCCCAAAAGTTAACTACTCCCATTGCTCTGGTCATGGCTATCCACATGTTCTTACGATTCTATGAACATGGACGCTCTATAAAAAGGTGTGCTTGTCTTTAGCCGTTTGGAAATTGTATTAGCAGCGATAGAAATTCTTCTCTCGCCGGTTTGCTCTCTCTGCAACTGGAATATCGTCATAATCGCATCCACATCTGCTGCACTGGTAGCACGTCCAGCATTTTGCTACGTTACACTTAGAAGTAAGCTTCGAATCTGATGCTTCTGATATCTGTCCTCAGAGATATGTGCAATCTTGACAGAAAATCTGCCAGTTTCCGATGACTTCTAGCTTCGCAAGAATTTCTATAGATATTGTGGATGTCCACCAGAAACAAAAACCATTGTATCTCTTCCAGTTTTTTTATTTGTTTTTGGGAGGGGGGTAACTAACGCCATTTTACTCCTCATACGACATTGCATATTCTGAAAATTTGCAAGAGAGATGAGGAAATACTAATTGTGTATCTCCCTGAAGTAAAATACCGTAACTAGCCTTGTTGACTCAGATATTCGTTATTAAATCCAAATCATTAAATGAAGATCTGTGATGGTTCACATCATATCTTAACATTTTGTGTCAGTTGTCACAATGGAAAATGCAAAAGATATTTTTCATTATCTGTATTCCTTCTAGTTTATCAAGGTGAACGTTTCATACACATTTCTAGCTGTGTTTGTAGTTCTCACAATAGAACATTGGTCAAGGAATGTGGCTAAATTTCTTTCATCCTAGCAACCTATTGTTATGGATCATTCCCCTATGTTGTTATGTGTGCTTTCTCTTGGAAAAAAAATGCTTTAAAGTAGAATACACTTTGGAAGGTCATCTTTTTCATTAGTAGGTCAGGTGATATGTTGCAGATATATCCTCCCTTATTTCCATATTGGAATAATCATCAGTGATATGAGTAATGCCTGTACACTGAGATAGATGAAATTATATAATAGTGTACATAATGATATCTCTCTTTTTTCTGGAGCAAGTGGAAACTGGAAAAAAATGTTAATCTGAAAAACGTTTAGAGCTAGTTTGCTCGCCACTTTGGTTGCCTTTGTTGCAAATGAAAGTTACTTTTTGCTTTGTTTTTCCATTGTGTCGGACTCTTTCTCCAATCATAGAGTCAGGGAAATCAGTTTAACTCCTTAATACATTTCCTGATTTTCTTCAAGCTATTGCATACACAACCTTTATCTCTAAGGTTATCAGTACAGTTTGAGAATACCATAGAATAAGTAGTAAGGAGGGAGAAATTTTAGTGTCATAACCACAGGATTTTCATTGTGAAGTTTTGTTTTCTTGACAAGTACATTTTACTGTGTTTTTCTGAACTCTTGTATGCTATAAGTTTTATTATATTTGAATGATGAAATAGCAAATTTCACAGGTAGAAGGACTAATAACTATGAGGAAGAATGTGTCACTATGGGTAGATAGCCAGCTGTCCGAGAGAGTAGTTTGGTCTCAGAGAAGTTCTTTCCTGGATACTGGACTTTGACCGCTGCTGTGAAGGTTCATGATTATGATCTTGCTGCAGCTGCAAGCTCAGGAAGAGAAACTATCACTGCCTGAAACTTCTAGAATTATTAGTCGAATTCTGTCCACAAACAATTGATATCAGTATACAAGTCTTGTAATGTGGCAAGTCTGAGATTGAATAGGGCAATCTTTATAGGACTCCCCAGGTACCTGCTGACCAGGGTTTCCAAACCCTGATATTTGGAGGTGCTGCTGAGTTGTTTCACAAGCAGGTGAGTTAGTGAGCACTGATAATGATCTAAGGAATATTCAAGGGCCACTTCATGATGGGAGGCATGCTAGCAGTATGACTGTTGGTCATAGAGAAACCTTGGAACATGCAGGCCCCTGGAGGAGCTGTCCTTGACAACTCCTTATTCTATAGACAGAGATCTAATGTTTGTCTAAACATTAGAGTTCCTGAGCACAATTACTACACCATACATCCAATGTCTAAAACATCTCAGCTTAGTTTGGTTGAGAATCCATGAGAGAAAGGCTGCTACCATCATCACAGGTCTCTGTGAGTGAGGTTAAGCAAATTTCTCACATATTGTTCAAGGATGCAGCTAATAAAAGATTTAGTTTGTTTCTTGAAGCGCTTCTAATAGGTAATTACTTGGAATAACTTGATTCAAGGACAAGTGGTGCAATGGCTGATGTTGAGTATAGAAATTTTGAAAATTGACTCAAATGAGCATTGAGTGAGGAGCAATTAGGCGACTGTAACACAGCTGTGGCCAATTCGTAATAACATCTCAACCTGGCAAAGGCTTGAAAGATGAGTACCACAGAGAACTTGGTCATTTATACAGATCATCTGCATCATCTACACGTGAAGATACACCTCTGACTACATCAAGATAATGTCACCCATAAGATGAAGGTAGTTGTCTCTGATCTTGGTTTTGGTATTAGGATCTTGCAGTGGACGTACTGTAAACACTGTTAGCTAGTTTTTCTTGTGTGATGGATGAACTGTGTTTCCATGAAAAACCATCCAATGCTGTCCAGATCAGGCCCATGACATTGTATTGCATAAATGCGTGATGAGGAGGGAGTTATTGTACCATCGTATTCATAAATGATGTTCTATGGTGTACTATGTAGGAAATCTAATACATTGTCTGTATGCAATGCAATGATGAACCGACACGTGAAACACACTGTTTCTTGTCCAGAAAACAAGCAGCATTAGCTCAAACAGTTATCTGCCTCAAATGTGACATAACTCTGGTGTTATTCTACAAGTATGGGGGTTTCATTATTAACTTCCTGCTGGAATGGTTGCAGTGAGTGAAGATCAGAGAATTATTAGTTGAATAAGCTGATATGTTCGTGGATTTATGACTGATTTGGTTGGACAACTTAAACTCACCATCAAACATACAGGTGATGTACATCTGATAGACTGCCGTTACACATGCTCTCCTGAAGCACTGTGGATGTTTTCAGCACTAAAATACACTAGATGTTAAAGGGAGGAACCATACATACTTCATAGAGTGGGTGGCTATTTCTAATAGTGATTGTCAAGAAGGAGGTCAACAATGTTCTATGGTGGTTTTAAATACACATACACAGTGGCCCACTTTGATGCCTTTTCATTGCCATAGAAAGATTAATTCTGGATGCATTCAAAGGTGCCCGTTGGTTCATCACTTTAGACCTGGCATCTGGATATATAAAAGCTCAGCTGAATAATGAGATTAAATATAATAATAGTTTTAGCACTCGAGATGGTTAGTCCAAGTTCTGCATTATGTCATTCAGCTGGTGTAATCTGCTTGTCACTTTTGAAAGGTGAATGGAGATTACACTGAGAGGACTGGAGTAGAAGAACTATTTGATCTATGTTGATAGATCTGAAGTACTATTTTTACACATCCCTGATTTTGAATCTGAAATGGCCAAATTAAGAGAAATGTGAGAAAACATCTGCAGTTAGCCTGATTTTATTAAACATTTCATGCCTTTTTGTTTCTAATGCTTCACCAACGTTCAACATATAATTGTTAAAAGATTACACAACACATATGATTAGTGTTTAAGATACTCTATTGTGTATCACTGTCCACCTTAATTGAATAGTTCTAAATAAATGGCCTCTTGAGTAGTTACATGTGTGATATAAAAAATAGATCTGAAATGTTATTATACATTCTTCTAATTTTGAATCTGAAATAGACAAATTTAGAGGACTGTGGAAAAAAGCAAATATATATAACGTGATTTCTGTCTCAAGTTTTAGGCCTGTTGGACTTTAGATTGTGTTTCAGTCATTAAAATCGGCTTTAGTAGAAGCTTCTGTGTAGACATTCACAAAATGAGATTGTGAATTCCACCTGTATACTGATGTTAACAAAAGTGATATTGTTCCAGCTGCAGGAAAGAGTGGAACGTGTAATTGGATATTCTAGTCATATGCTGATAGCTCCTGAATGCAGATACCGCACTACAAACAAAGAGCTGCTTGTAATTGTAGTATACATTAAATATTAACTTTATTACTTATATGGTAGAAGGCTCATCATATGTGAACAATGTGTTGATGAAGTGGCTCGTTAACTTTAAAAATCCAGAAGGTAGAGTTGCTTGTTGGACCAAAATACAAGAGAAAGTGAAACTTTGTTATACATTACCACCTGTTCCTGCAATGTGGGAATGTTGATGGATTTCTTACAACATAGTAAAAGTCTAGTCCATTCATTGAATATCCTGACCCTAAACAGTATGTTGTATTTAAAGTAAGTACCACAAAACATGACATCAAACCATATTAGGTACTGCAATTAATGCTTCATAAGTTCCAGGTACAGCAACTGCATGACTCAAATCAGCATGGGTACCCTTTGTTTACAGCAATATGAAACATGGTCAGAACAGATTGAGGAACTTATGGTGAATGCACACAATCTGTGCACTTGTATAAGCAGTTATGAGTAGAAGAAGGTGTGCTGTATCAGTGATATAAACCATCAAGACCTAGTTCCCAACTTGTTTTGCACCTATTGATCTTCAGAGCTCTCAAGCACGAAATATTTCAGACTTTGCATAATGCATGGGGTGGATGTTACAGATACTGTGCTAAGATATGATAGTAGCTCTGAAGTAAGTGAAGACATTGAATGGTGATGTAAACATTGCACTACGTGCACTGCTCAGAGTAAAAACCAGCTAGGAAAGGGAAACTTGGGCATATACTTGTTGATTTTCCATTTCAGAGAATAACCCTGTATATTGTTGGTCCCCTCCCAGAGACTGAATGAGATAATCAGTATGTGCTGGTCATTATCCATTACTTCACAGAGTAGAAGAAACCTATCTATTGGTTGATATATTAGCTTAATCTGTTGATAATGCATTGGCTCTTCTGAAGACATTATCATGAATAAAGGAGTCAATTTCAGGAGTGAATTTTCCCTGAGTTGTGTAGAGTGTTATTTGTGGTGAAGATGTGTACTTCATCATCCCCAAGCCTGATGGTTTAACATAAAGAGCAATAGAAAATACAAAAGCAGATGCTTGCAAAGTTTGTTAATGCTGAAATAACTGGCTTGTATTAATACTTGCCACACATCATGATGGTATATTATACAATAGAAAAGAGGTTGATTAGTTAGTTGTTCATAGAACATGTTCACGTTTGGTCGAGAAATGCAGCTTCGTGTGGACGTGGTATATGGTTCACCTCTCAGAGCAGATATGCCACAATGTCCATAAGAATATATGGAGTGGTTAAATTCTACAATAGTTAATGCACATGAATTTGTACGTCAACAGCCAGGAAAGTTTGTCATGCAATAGAAGAGATGTTGTAGTAAAACAGTGAAAGAATGAACTATAAAGCTTGGGGATTCTGTGTAGTTTTGGTACATATCACCAGTACAGAAACAACTTTTTTCTGACTAGACAGCCAAAATGTGATGGTAGTTGTATTAGCCAAAAGTAAGTCAAAACACTGAATGGTGATGTAAACACTGTAATCTGCTTTGCGCGAAATTCAAAACAAACAAACAAACAATTATATATGACAATGTAGGCATCAGAACATTTATTTATACATTGACAGATTTGAATTAATACGAAATGTACCCAGTGACAGTTTTCTCTATTTTACTAAGCGCCATCTAGTGGATGAACATAAAATTATATCTGTTTGAAAAATGGCGCCTTCACATGCATCATCAATGCGTAATTATTTTCAAAGTAATTGTAAAGTGAAAGATTTTCAAGCCCATTCTTCTAAGGTGCATAGCGTTGACTGGAACTGTGATGGAAGGCGTTTAGCATCTGGAAGTTTTGATAAAACAGTTTCAATATTTGTACTGGACAGAGATCGATTGGTAATCTTTACAAATTACGTTGTTGTTGTTTTTTGTTGTACTGTAGTCAACAGTTCAGTAACAGTTTTATTTTAACACTTAACTAGAAATGTTATAACACTAACAGTGGTACCCAAAATTTTTTCACCAACAACACCCTAACCCACTTACATTGATTTGCGCAACACCCCTGCTGTCGCATGCAACATATTTTCAATTTCTGTAAATTTATTTTTCATGTTCTTATTTAGTCTTCGTTTGGTGAAAGTGAAATTCTCATGACACCCCTAACAGTAACACTGCAAAGCGTAAGTTGTAACACTAACAACTTGACAGTTTGGAAACAACTAATTTATAAATATAAGTTACAACTTTGAAAAAGAGTTATTTAGTAGCAAACAATGTTTGGTCTATCTTCATACTAATAATAAAATGTAATAATAGTTTAATACTAACTCAGGCCAATATCAAACTGCAGTTAAATAAACTTAAGCCTTAAGTTAAGGACCCAAATGTTTTGGTACAGGCTGTTTTCTAGCTATTACTAGTAATATTACTAATAATATTAGTCGTACTGTGGCAATAAGAACTGGAAAATGCTATTTTCTTTGTCATTTCGCTTTTTATAGTAAGGGGATCATTCCTTGAAATTGAATTACAAGATGAAGCATCCGAAAGTTGTTGATGTCCTGATAGTCATACTCATAGTCATATGCCCTTGTATTTATAGTCCTAATGTGATAAGTAAACAATAAGTAATACAGTCCATCACATAGAAATGAACAAAGCATAACATCATACTTTGAATGTAATGCCAAGATTCATGTCCATCTTGAATAATATTGTAAAATTGATAAATCCATTAGTATCACTTATTTTCATCTTGGATGTAAATTAAATGTACTAATGTTGCAATAAAACTTAAAACTTCCATAGAATTAGTGTATTATTTAACTTCTATGACAATAGCATTTTCATACCAAACTACTGTGAAAACAGCATTTTCCAGCACTTACTGTTGCAGTAATTGCCTTGAAAATTGCTACTGCTTAAAGTTTTAGTTGAATACTTTTGAGCTTTTTCAGTTTTAATTTCCAATTTTAGTTCAAATTACACAAATTAATTTTAAGTACTGTGAATATTGGTTTAGTTTTTTTAATATAGACAAAGAAATGCTCTGCTTAACTGTTAATGGTCCAAGTAATTTGAAACAATTTGTGATGAGAATATTTTTGTCCTGATTTTTTGGTCACATGCAGCTGCTTTTTTCTGCGTCAAAACTTGAGATTTTTGCTCAACATTCATGCTCAGAATTGTCTTTTATTTTTATTTATTCTATTATATGTATGTGTATATTTGTGAGTGTGTATCTCTCTCTCTCCCTCTCTCTCTATATATATACATGTACATATAATTTAAGGACATGAAGGGACTTAATGATACATCTAAGTCATCCCATCCAGTAAATTAAACTTCAGAATAAAATTAAAACACTAAAATTCAGCTTTGATCAAATCTTGATTTTTGAAACTGCTTTTCCATATGATGTGTTTAGATTCAACTTGTTGCAAAATATTTCAGCATTCTAAAAACATGATACTGTTTGCAGGCAGAAAGTGTTTATGAGCTCTATTATTATTACCCAACCATTCTAAAAGAGTTTTTTTGTGATAGCACTTAATAAATGAATATTGCAGTTTGTAAAATAAGTGTTTCATACTTTTACCTCATTATTGTTAATATATTCACAGTTAAGTCAAAACATGTCAATATGATAGATTTAAAATTTAGAGCTTGA